TCTTTGGGCATTATTTCCTCCTTCCCCCTCGCTTTTCTATTAATCTTTTTTTTTTCTCTGCCTTGCCTTCCCGATCGGTCGCTACCCTTCCCGGTAACCTGGTTACCAGGTTAAAGAACTTTTTCCACCTCCGGTTTCAACAATTCCTTATTTTTCCTGTTCATTTTTAAATACTATTATTAAATGGAGGGGAGAACTACTCACATTCCGTGAATACATGCTGCACGGAGAACTATTTCTCAATCGCACAGAAAAGATTGAGGACAAGAATAATTGAGTTCATGCCCTGTCTACACTTATTTTCATATAAAATCTTCACCAAAATGACATAGCTGTGACTAATGAAGCTGATGACACATTTATGCCCAATATATGCAGGAAAGCATTAGCAATGACTGAACGGGAACCGGACAAAATGACCCCGGACAAAACGGCCCCACACACCAGAAAACCAGCTTCTTTGAATAAGGATTAATTTTTCCCTCTCAGATATTGATATGCTGTTCAAATGATTAAAATCTATTAAAATAGTTATAATTCATTAACACAATTTATTAAACTAACGCAATTTTACTTGACCCATCCCACCCTGTTTACCCTCTGATCCTGATCCTCTGTTCCATCTAATCCTCTGATCCAATCAGCACTTCCCAGTCAAAAAGTCAAATATCCCACCTTGTTACCCTGTAATCCTCTGATCCTCCAATCAGCACTAGCAGCACCCAACCGCCTTCATTGATGACCATCTTCTGACTTTCACTTTTACTGCAGCTACATTTGTATAAAAGAGCAATTTCCCTCTATTCAAATATTCATACGTTTACGGAGTACAGAAAAAAAGAAGGAAGATCTGTTATTCTCCCGTGGAATAGGTGATTGTGTGCATGGTATTTTATATTTTATCATCCTGTTATACCTAAGTGGCAGCATTACTTGCCGAAATATATCTTATTCATTCTTGAGTGTGTATTATTGGTTTGAATACGGTCAAACAACACAATTTTGCAAGAAACTGCAGGGAATCCCCCCAAGAAGAGGCAGAAGCGGGTATACAAGGTAATGCAGCAGAGGCTGAGAACACTTTGCACACAGTATGGAGAGGGATTTAAATCCTTGAAGGAGGTCCTGCATGGAGTTGGTCATGCCATCCGATTTTAGTATTTGTTGTACTTAAAAAAAATTGCATCCATTACATAATTTTTTTTAATGAATTATAATTATTTTAATAGAATAGTAATTTCATTTAATGATTCAAGCAACTTTGGAGTTTACAATTATACATCCGACAGAATTTGAACAGCATATCAATACCCGAGAGGGAAAAATTAATCCTTATTCAAAGAAGCTGGTTTTCTGGTGTGTGGGGCCATTATGTCCTACATTGCATTTGGGACCATTATGTCCGGGGCCGTTTTGTCCTACACTCGACTGAACATCTTTGACAAGATCATGACATTTTTATTCTGACCTCTGATACTTTAACACAAGATTACCATATCATGAGAGAATGCTCTTAAAAAGAAAAGGTTGATAGTTATGTAGGGGGGCAAAATCTTGGGAATTCAACAGAGACAGAAGGGCATAACTTCTTTATGCCAATCTGAAGTCACTTTTCCAATCGTTATGAACTCTAGCCATATGCATGGAAAACAAAATGTCATATGTCACTTCATTGTACAGGGTGACTATAAAGAAATTTCCCCTGTTCAATGCATCGGATCTCGTAAACAGATAGACACAGGATCGTGAAAATTATGAATGCTGCAGGAGGCACGGGGCATGCAATGCTATACATATCGTGAGTTGTCAACTAAAGTGAACAAATGGCCCCTTATAAAAATCAGTTGTTCAATGTGGGCTCCTCCATTACCCACTATGCATCACATTCGAGGGATAACAGTCACGACAGTAACACATCACATATCCTGCAGTAGGCTGGCCATCTCCCTGAAGATGGCATCTTAAGGTCTGGAATCGCGTGTGGGGTCCCTCAGTACACGAGACTTTATAACCCCTACAACCCAGGGTCTGCTGGCGTAGGGTCCAGTGAATGTTATAACATTTGTCATTCCCATTATGCAGCAATGAAGCATGCTGGGCACCTCGCTTTCATGCAGGATGGCACTACTCATTTGCACCAGTGTCTAGCGCAGTGGTTCCCCATTTTTTTTTATTTGCGGCACACATAAGGATACTTGAATTTTCCACGGCACACCCAGCCATTTACTTACTTACAATGGGAAACGTGCTCGCTTCGCTGAACACAGCAGTTTGATACGAGGCGTGATAGTGCAACTCAGCTCGTTTTCCACTGAGAGATGGCGTTCCTTCTTGTTTTTTAGTTTTTTTTGTCGCCTCTCAATCTCACGGCACACTTAAGCCTTACTGGCGGTATACCAGTGTGCCGCGGCACACCGTTTGGGAAACACTGGTCTAGCACATGTTGCGGGATCAGTATCAGGATTGCATGATTTCCTGATATTTTCCTCATGAATGACCACAACGGTCTGCATTATTGCATCATCCTCTATGCAATGCATAGTGGATTATAGAGGAGCCCACATTGAACACAAATGATTTTCATAAGGGGCTATTGTTCACTTTTGTTGACAACACACGACATCTACAGCATTGTCTTCCCCATGGGGGCCATGCAGCATTCGTATTAATTTTCACAATCCTGTGTCTAACCGTTTATGAGATCTGATGTGTTGAACAAGGGAACTTTCTTTATAATCACCCTGTATATTCTTTATTTCAATTCATACTTTGCCAAACTGGCAAGACTTGAAATTCCAACAGGGCAACAGTGCATAAGAAAAAGGCCTAGCAGACTTGCATCATTATAACTACACTATATAAAGGTAACCTACATCACAAAAAAGGAGGCAAGTTAGGCAGAAGAAAAACTATAGCATGAAAGGTATTCATGGGATTTCTCCCATCTAGCTTCCTGCAACTCTGACACATCTCTCACGATGGAAGTGCATGTTAGGTTCAAATTATCTTTCTAGAGAACAATTGTATTTTATAGTTGGATGAAACTTCAAAGAAAATTGAACCTCTGCACCAAGGTTAGCCTATTAGGTGCATGGGAACCACATAAGATCCAAGAGCACAAAAAAAACATTCTCTGGGGTGGTCACTTACTTCAAAAGGTACATAATCATGTCTCTTTTTCCATTTAACATTTTTTCCAAGTTGTGGCTTTTATGAGCTTTGCCCACAATGCAGAAGATTGCAAGAAATAAAAAACAAAAGCTGTAATTAAAAGAAATGATGAGAGAGAAAGTAAAAGTGAGATAACTGTGAGAAACTTTTAATAAATCATCAGGAAGAGATAAGAATGACAATGCATATGGGAAGCATAAATGCATATACCATACAGCCTGCTTTTGCCCATCAACTTCAACTCTCTCATCTAGCCCAGATGACTTAGACCCACTTAAATTGTCCTGACCAATAGATCTCTCTTTTTGTGCTACTCACATGAAGGCCTAATGGCCCTCACACTAACACTGCTTTATTTGTATACATTGTTCTGATATTATCTTTTTAAAATTTTTTATCCTTCCTCTGCTACTTCACTGTAAGCATACAGAATCAGGAAATAAAAGGAGTTTCGTCATCCATGTGAGAACAAAGCATTCATATTGTTCAGGAAGCCTGTTTTTATATTGATCAATCCCCATGACCTAAAAGTAAGAATATGCCACTATGATAAATACACATAGGACAAGTAACTGAGTGAAACACACAACATAATAATAAATTACTCAGAGCCTCAAATTTTGTGCAGAAACATATGTGCTAATAATAACTGTCATGATGCCTGAACAATTTCAGCCATCCTAAAAGTCATTCAATGCTTGAAAGAAGCTTAAAACATTTGAGATTCCCATTTTAAACCATAACACATGGAATGCATGCAATTTCAGAACAAATCCTGATGAAGCAGAAATGAAGAGTTTTGGTGCATTGCAAATTGATTTTTGAGAGTAACTGCATGTAAACACTGTTGTGGAAAACAATATAATGATTAAAGAGCACAGAAGTCAACTTTTGGTGGAAGGGGAGATGAAAGTGGACAGTGATTGGAGGAGTGGATGCCCACACTAGCTTAACAAGAATCTCTTAGGTCAACTCCCTCTGAAACTTGTTTTGCAAACAGAGTACAAGTAAAAGAAAAAAATGGACAGGCTTTTATTTTCATTCTCATTTACATCATGTGAGAACTGGTGTCAGTCATTTAGACTGAAGGCAGGGAATTTTGCATCCATGCTCAGCAACACAAAAGTCATTTGGGAAACGATTGCTATCTAATACTTGAGATGTTCACCACTAGCACCAATTAATAAGACTGTATTCAGGAAAATGCACTCATACTAAGCTTATATCCTGAATATTTCAAAGCTAGGAGTTGAGAGTTCTTGAAACCGAAGAACTATCCAACAATCTCATGGAGAATATAATATGCTAAGTCTTGCCTTCAAAATTATGAACAGCAAGTGAAATTCTCAGAAATTAACAAAGCTCACACATGGTATTACGTTTATCTATTATGCATATGTCTTGTATTACTCAGGGCTTCCCAAAGCAGATGAGCAGGTTTCTCATACCTCCTTTCCCAAACAGCCAGAGGCCAACTATTTCAATCATAACCAAATTATGCTTTTTTTAATGTAAACATTCAAAATCAACTTTGCTTCTAGTAGGCCTGCATAATTTTCCCTTTTTTATTGTAAGAAAAAGTCTTTTTTTTTTCTCTTTCACAAAGGTGGAAACAGAGAAAGTCCTCTCCCCCTTACAACTTTTCATGCACCTATGAACTTATGTGAGACATCCATTATTACTTGCTTCTGAAAATGACAATGTATTTGCTCTCCTTATCACAATATGCTTGTCAGAACATGCAAGACATGCTTTATGCCAGCAAGCATTAACCAAACAGAAATGAAACAGAGAACACATTCTACACAGCCAAAACAGAAGGCAAACAGAGTCTGCCAATCCTGAATTGGTAAAAAGTATATGAATATTGAAATAGAAAAGGGGAGAGGTAAAAAATTGTTCCATGTAAGTCTTGCTGCAATCTAAGGTCATTGAGGCTACGTGTGAAATTTTCTCACTGGAAAGATCATGCCTATATCATCATATACCCTCTCTCCAATGTAAAAAATAGTTGCAGATAACAGCACAACCTTGAATAAAATCTTACATAACCAAACCTGACCATATAGCATCCTCATTATTACAATACATTAAAACAGAGCTGTGGGAAGCATCATTTGTACCTGTCAAGACCCCACTGCAAATTAGCAATGTTTTTCTTCACTCTGGTGTACTCTTCAACAATTTCAAAGAAGCTAGCACTTAAGCCAGAGTATCGTTGGAGTTCTCTCTGTGCGATGGCAAAGTCCCTTTCCATCTTTTCCTCCTCTTCTCTGAGCATGGCACTGATCCTTTCGAGTGCCTTGATGACATCTGGGGTGTATGTCATGCACAGGAGCTCCAATTCCATGATCCTGTCGGAATGACCCATCAAAGCAATGGAAATTACCCATATTAATATTTGTGAACTTCAGCAGCATTTATTAGGTAATAATTAATGTCACATGCTCATGAACCTTACCTTGCCTTTTGCTGCAAAATCTTGAATTTCAGCTCTAGGTATCGTTTAAGCTGTGGATGAGACTCCTTTTCTGTAGCTCTCTGTTTTGCTTTGATGACTTCTTCAAGTAGGGCATTAAATGTTTTGTTGACTGATCTGATTTCAGTCATGCGCTTCACTTGAGTCAGTTGTTCTTCTATCATTCCTTGTCTCTTTTCAGAAGATTCCTTTCTGAGGTGCTTCAAGATGGATGGTGGCTCAGATGTTGAGGAAGTAATACCTGGAGAATATTATAATATAAATAAGGAAACAGCCCCAAGATATGAAAATGATAAGAATTCTAGCTTCTGACCTAAATAACAAGTAGGTATTTAATTGAAGCACAACTTGGAATCATACCCTGGATGGCCATCTTGATGTCTTTAGCCTGTGCACTCAAATGAGAAGTAAGTTCCTTGTGAAGAATTACTGAATCTACTGCAGCCACCAGCTTCTCATTCTCTTCACAACTGCTATGGAAAGATGAGACATCTGTCCTTGATTCATCTCCAAGGAATAAATCTGCCATTGCCATTGACCGGTACAATGCCACTCTTTCCTGGAATGAGAAATTAAGATACAAGGTTCTCAGCAAGGTCCAACCCATCAGACATTAACCAAAGTGGATGATGAAAAAAAAAGTTGTTAGTTAAATATTGGCCTTTAGATTTTAGAATAGGGTTTATGGCTTGGTATTATATCAAGTGGTGTAGATATATTTTCCACTCCACTGCATTAAGCCTGGCTTGTCAAAATACTTTTTTGCTAATTTCATATTATCATATTGTGTTCTGAAATGAATTCAAGTCAATGATTCAGGACTTCAACAGAGGCAGACCCCACTCAATTGTGAGAATCTATGATTCTACATGTTACAGAACACCAAAGCTCAATAAGAAATGAACCTGCAATCAAATTCTATGTTAAAAAAAATGACATCAGATATGCGATGGAGGCCAACAACATAACTTTGAAAGAGAATACTGACAATGGACATTATTTATTCAGTGCATGAATTCGCCTAGGACTATCAGTAAATCATGCCCTTTACACTGTTGTCAGGAATAGGAGAGTGAATCAGGATGAAATCATTGAGATGAGATTGGAACACAGATTACAAGAGAAATGGGAAAGGAAACTTGATTATTAGTAGCAGTTGGTAACTCAGTAAATTGAAAACAGACTTTTGCCATAATTTATTCTAAGCAAGGAATGCCTCTGCCACAGAGGAATTATAATAGTTCCTACACCCGTCTCTCTCCAATTCATTTTCTTTTGTTGAAACAAAGGAATAGCAAGATATCCTACTCAGCATGAAGCAGGACAGAAAGCAATGAGATGATGTCAAATTTCAGATCTGAGTGCATTACCTTTAATCTAAGTACAACAAAACCTTGGAAACAAATTATCTCCAGGAACAGAGCAGTCTAAGAGTTTCTGTTTGCTAACAAGTGACTGGAGTCGTGCAACAGAAAGAAACTTCTGTCTCCCATTAGAAACACACTAACAAAAATATTTACAGGCCTAGTCCTGAGTAAATGTTTCATTTGGTATAGTAGGTATCTACAGCCAACCCTTGATATAACATCATTGGTAGTTTTTTGTGCACTATAATGCAGGTGGCACTATGTCAAATGAACCACTGTATGCTAGTGGCTATGGTACCAAGATCTCTTAAGGACAAATTGACTTAAGGATGTGAAGCCTCTACTGCCATCCTTACTCTCCTCCTAAACTCTACACTTGTTCAATGCGCTATCAATTTCATGGCCATGAGTCACACTCACCTTTTACTTTAACTACAAATATTAAGCTGTACTTAATACTGGCAAAGGCATGTATGTTACTTGGTGCAATATTTCAGAAGATTTATGTAAGAAAAAGCACGTTGGCACAAATGGTGGTGTTGGTGGATGGTGACTTGTGAGGGTGGCACTATCAAAGGATATCATCTATGATAACTAGGAAAATTTGCTCTCATGAAAAAGTTGACTATAAGTGAGGGTGGCAGTGTACCAAGGGTTGGCTTTCCATCTAGTAAATACCATATGCACAGTATGAATACCCCCTTTCAGGCAGGGCTTTGCCCAGTGAACATCAAAGTTTCATGACACCCTGATTTTCACTAATCAGGGTGGTTGTTCAGGTCTGGTTGTTCATGGGAACAGCATAAACTCATGTATTAAAAAAGAAACCTTTGATTTGCCCCCCCTGGGCAAAGGGGGTTGTTGCCCTGGGCCCCCAAAGGAAATTAAAAACGTTAAGTTTCAGTGAGTACATATCTGCCAGATGTTCACAAGATTAACTTAAAATGGCTGACAGGTTGCACGAAGAATTCATATATACAGGCCTAGGCTAACATCATGTCAAGGTTTCAAAACCAAGGAACACTTCAAAGGACCTCACTGCTTCTGTGAATCCAGAAGTCTGCACAGACGACCCTTTCAACTCTTGCATCGCATCATCTCCATTACCCGTGGCGATTGCTTCCACTGCCCCAAACAACAACTTCAGCAACAAATATTTCCTCCGAACTGCCTCCAGGCTGATGGGTGGTTCGGTGAATGTTGGCCTACGTCCTAAATTCATGCTGAAGATTGAGGTATCTCCATCAGCTTCCCATGCACCACGACGCGAAGTAGACCATGACTGAGACCTAACACATGAGGCCGATCCCTCAGAAAATGTCCAAGACTGATTCCTTTGTGACAGACTGGTGAAGTTCTGTCGGAAAGACTCCTCTAGGAAGTTGGATGGAGCCAGGAAACGTCCCTCTTTTCCTTTCTGAGCCATTTGATGAATGATAACCCCTTAAGCAAAGACATGAAGGTTGACAGACACCACGTGAGAACTAAAAACCGCCATTACTCCCAAATTCCCGCTCTCTGCAGAAAAACAGATTGCGGGCGTCTTCGACTCCCGATTCTTCCTCTCTCATCAAATCATTCCAATTAAAATGACTTAGGGTAAAATATTCTGTGATGGGTCATAGCGCTAAAAAATGTATAATAACTAAGCTTGCGTAGCACACATACCCCCGTATTGACATAGGCTAGCAACTTGCAAGCATAAATGTCAAGAGATGTGCATGTTACATTAGGATAGTTAGATTATTCCTGCGCTGTGGCCTATCACAGAGCCATAACAGGTCCATCATTGGGTATTTTACCTAGTTCCTATCCGAGGCTGAAGGATCTTAGCAATCATTAGGAAGGAGCAATAGCAGTAGAAGAAATACAGATGCTGGAAGACAGATGAGAACTACTCCAATATATTCAATACTAAAGTGTCCTTGATTTCAATAGACAATTTCCCCCCCCCCCCATTTGCCCCTATAAATCGCCGCCTATGCATGGCGCCACAACTCTCCATTGAAACCATGGAGGTTCTTATCACCGACATCCGGGCTCGACCTGATCTCTGGAATGTTATGATGTTGGGGTACCACCAGGGCCGAATTAAGGTTATGAGGAGCATGAGGCAAATGGGAAGGAAGGGTCTAAGTATGAATTACATATTGAAAAAAAAAATGGAATGGAGGGCCTAAAGTAGGGCCTAAAAATGAGGGCCTAAGGCTACAGCCCATGGGTTAATCCGGCCCTGGGTACCACGACCGCTCCATCAGGGATCTGGGAAGGAAGCCATGATGATATACCAGTGGCGGCTCGTCAGGGGAGGCGAGAGAGGCCCGGACCTCAAAAATTATCGGGTGCCCTTCCCCCATATAATTGAAAGTATCCATTAGGATAGCAAATAACAAAGAAATCTCAGATAATGGTTGAATTCATTCTAAATTGACACAAAACAAGCGAAGTCCGGTCCCTGACAATTATTCCTGCGCAGAATCACGTACGGGAGGCCAGCGCCTGATGGCCTCCTCTGGCCAATGCATAGGGATATCCTGTAGCACTAGCAATACAATAGTGTACGAGAGAAGGGAGACCGGCCTCTTCTTCTGCATTGCGCATGAGCAGGTGCCTGCTAGCAGAGAGCATTTCTTTAGGCTCCTTTGCCGCGGGTAGAGATCTTTTCGGTCATCCAAATTCGCATTGCCAATGTATATCTACGCAGTTGCTATAAATGAAAACGAAAACAATATATATATTATTCATAATTATGATACTCGCTAGGTGTGCTAGTCGTGATTTTGTTCAGAAGTTGTGAAACTCGCTAGTGAAATCGTCAGACCACTAATTTTCTCAACGGGCCGGATGCACCTCTGCTTTCACTGAAGTGTTCGACGGAGTTCCACTCTACTTTCGCGTGATTTCGATACTATATGAACTGTTGACGTGAAACGGTTCCTCGCTCAGCGACTGACCTAAGCAAACCTTTCGTGCCTCATGCTCCCAATAATATTACAATTAATTATTGTTCATCATAAAGATCATGAGGTGGACTCTCCAGAATTTTTGTCCACGAGCCGTCACTGTGATATATCCAATTATGAGCAATATCTCTCCCATGATTTAACTTCGAATGCACAGGGGCCTTTTCGGACAATTTTCATTAGGAAACAAAGACCAACCCATTCGGCACAACAACGTTGTATCAACATTGAGAATAGGTTGAAACGTTGAGACTTGGTTGAAGTTGAGAATTCGACGAAAAATCAACATCAGTGAAATGGTAGCTATTCATAATTAATCGTATTTTCAGCATTTGGTGACTACTCGTGAACTAGGGAAGTCGTTCAGAGGCTATTAGGAGCAAATTAAAAAAAATCGTATTTTCAATGTTGTTTTTACGTGGAGTTATCCACATCATATCAACTAAAATTTGGTTCTACGAATCGACGCGAGATGGCACATAACCGCCAATTCCGCGATTCTTATCCTGATGCCTTTAAATAACCAGTACCCTGCGTTTTTCAGACAGTACCCAATCTTTTCCCATTTACAGCATAGGGGAAGGTATAGGAATTCCTAGATAGACATGTTTAAGGAGGTAATCAGGCAGAAGGAGACCGAAATTACTTCTGGCTAGTGGGTCCGAAAAGACACGCTCAATTTTCCTAAATCTCCACATGGCACGCGCCCTTACTCACACTCATCCATAATGGATAGAGTATAAAAACCATGCCCGCGAGGTTGTTTTCCTCTACTGGATCGAGAAGTACTTGAGTCATGCAAGTACTCAACGTGAATTCTCATTCAGTAGAGGAAATAAAACTCTGAAGGTCCTTTACGTGGGATGATTGTACTCGATAGAGTACTGCTACTATCATACCTCTTGGGAACCATCTATGGAGCTATCGAGTCCATATTCAATTTCATCCGACAATCAAAGCTCATTCAAACCCTGGAATAGGGAGGAGGTACTATAATTACCCTTACGTTGAAAATTCAACGTTGACACAACGTCGCACAGCATCAACTTTTCAACGTTGAGCTGTGTTTCATTTCAACATTGTGGCAACATGTTACGTTGAAAAGTCAACATTTTCTCAACATTGATGCAACATTGCCATCAACCTTTTTTCAACGTCGACACAACGTTATTGTGCCGAATGGGAAAGGTCCCGTCTGCTTCTACAAAGTGCGGTGAACGCCACGAGTCTCACCCCAATTGGTTCCTACAGGGTCTTCCCGACCAGAGCGCGACTTGCTTACAAGCCTTCTAGGATTTTGAACGGAGGGGAAAGTGGAAGCAAGCGCTTGTCAGGACTTGCTAGAGCGAAGCAAGTGGTGTATACATGAGGCGAGTCTCTTGGCAAGCTCTTGCTGGCAAGAACTTGCCTCGTGTATCAGGGCCTTTACGCTACTGCGCATTCTGTGCTACAGGATTTCATTTCTCAGAGATTCATCACTGTCACGGTGGAATTCATTCATCAAGAGTGAGAATCGACAGGACTCCCGGTCTCGACGAAATCCGCTCAGAAATCTTTCTAGAAGGAGTAATTGAACTTGCATCGCCTTTTTCTTTCAGAACTTTCAGAGATTGATCAAAAATCCGTGAAACACCCGAAAAAAAACCCTCACGCTTGGAGTGGAACTAGTGAGAACACAGAGCCTGTTCGGCGGTGCAATGGCCGAACAGGGGAAGTCTGCTCTCAGGCGGCGAATGATTGGGAGATAATAATTTTTTTTTCGGTTTCGCCATGGCTCCAGGAAAAAGCTTGCACGAGAAGGTGAGGTTTCGGACGTTCCCAAGGGTTCGAACTTCAAAAAGGTAGAATGGAAGAGTCCTTTCCAAACCGTGGCATGCGTCTGAGGGAGTTAGAAGCAGGGAAAGTAACTGAAACAAAACACTCACCATCACGAGCGAGTGAATTGTTTCGCGATAAGGGCCTTCGCCGAAGCTCCGTTCAAGTAACGACTCACGAAAATAGTCGTGAGTCCCGCGTGAATCACGCGTGAAGCGGGACTCAAGCACACCTCTACTCCGTCAACCGCTTTACTGCGTTGCATATAAATATATTGTCTACACCACTGCCATCTTTACTTAATTTCGGTAACTAAATGGGATCTGGAAGAAAAACCCATTCTCTTCCTCCGTGTTCTAGGGTGCCCGAGCAAAAGAACGACAAGCCATTCGCCCTTTGTGTGAGTATTTGCGTCCACAAAGGATGTCGATGGAATGACCCGACGGAACAAAAGGCCGAAAGGCAGAACAATAGGCCCTGACGAGGCTCTCGCCGAGTCGTGACATCTGATTAAGAGTGTCGGCGCGGATGGGGTCAGGGCGAGACAGGGTTGATGGATCCACGCTTCTGTCATCACCGTGAGTGCATCTTAAATTACGGTTGATTCGTTGCCACTAGACGGGAATGATGCTAATTGCACTGCCGTGTCAGGGAATGGGCCAATTCGTTCTCGAACTGTCGGAGTCGAGAGGAACGTGTGTAATTACTTCTATAATTGTTTCTCATTATTCTGCGTGTATTTGTCAATTTAATGGAACGAGACTGTGGAATGCAGAGTGAGGAATACAGATATTCTTCCATGGCTCTGGCAACCCTGCTTTGGTTCTAATTGCCTCCCCAGTCTGTTTCCGTATCCATCAAGATCGCAGGGACAATCATGTAGCTCGACAGCCCGGAAAAAAATCATCAGTTCCCCCCGCACGAATCTTACCAATAATCCCTTTATGCAAAAAAAAAAAATCCAGCTGGCAAGTGAAAGAAGTCCCCAGCAATCGCAGCATGGAACATTTCATTGCACCCCGCCCCCCGTCGGGCGAAGAATCCCTACATCGGGATCACCCCAGCCCCTCCTCCGACACCATTTCATTTCCGCCACCCCTTAGCCGCCTCGAAAATCCAATATCTCTCTTTCCTCCGTGAGAGAGCTGATATCGGGCACGTTCCATGCCCACCGAACGCAGAATTTCCAGAAAATATCAATACGGTCCAACTGCGTGCCGTTTTAAACCAAGATTCATCGCATGGTGGACTCGCCCTCGAAGGTGGACTGGCCCTCGAAGGTGGACCGGCCCTCGAAGGTGGACTGGCCCTCGAAGGTGGACTGACCCTCGAAAGCCGTGAGCCTTCGGTCGGACCCTCGATCCTCTGAGGAACGGTTGAAGAAGGGGATTTTCTATTCTTTACCAAAAATGCCAGCAACTTGGCATTTGAACGCTGTTCGATGTTTAAACCATCTGAGGAGGCTGAGAAGGAGGAGGAGGAAAGAGGCAGTCGCCTTCGTGGTCTTCGTGGCTTGTAGCCTTCTTGGCTGACCGCCTTCTAGTGACGTTCAAGTCAGGCCTTGTGTATTTTTGATGGGACCTTCCAAAAAAAAAAAGAACTAGAAATACCCAGAGTATTTGTTCCCCTCTACAAGTCATTCCCCAAGGAAAAAAAAAATCTCAGCCGGAAGATTTTTCCCCCTGCAGATTCCTTCCCCCCCTCCTCTCTCCCCCCCTCTCCCCCCCCCCCTCTCCCCACAGGAATTTTTTCCCCTCCGCCAAACGTCTCGGCTAAACGGCAAAAGCGTCATCTCCTAATGCGAGTGCGCATCGATTCGCGACACAATTTTGTTCTTCGCATCCGAAGAAATCTGAAAACGGAGTTGCAGCATGGAATTCGGACGTGCATGGATTTATTATCGGGCACATTTACCATTTTTAATGCAGACAATGCGAGAAGAGAGACAATAATTCATCTATTATATTTATATATAAAATTAAAAATCATCACATTTTTCTGTATATATCTTAGCGCTTTCCTTTCCCCTGGAAAAAAAAATATACAGGCGTATTTTTCCCGGGAAAGTATATTTTTCAATAGTGTTTTTCCATAGGGGCGAAAATATTCCGAAAATTTTATGACCCAGGGCGAATCGCTTCACGATCGAGAATTTATTTCAAATTTTGTCTGCAATCGAAATTGCAGTCCTGAAAATGAAAATGGAGCGATTTCGAATAAATTTGGTACCCGAATGATGAAATTTCTCCAAGGGCCTTGAATAATTTCTTCAGAGACAAGTCAACGAAAATGGGCGATTCTAAAAATACGAATGCAAAAAAAAAATTAGAATAATTTCGAGACGATCACACGAAAACCCCAAAAATCCGCCGAATGAGTCCGCTAACACACCGTTCAATCCCGGAACTCCTCGACGGAACCCATTCGGAGACGGGAGCCGTCTCCGAAGAAAAGCAGGGAAAATAAATATATTCCCCCTGGAAAAAAATATACCAGCAAATATTTTCCGATGGGAAAGAATCCACCGGTACATATTTTCCCCTCTCGGTATATTTTCTCGGTAAGCAGACTCAATAAGCGGCTGAGACTATGCCCGAAGCGAACGAATTTTCATCGCGCGGACGGGCTGAGATTTTTCGTTCACCCGAGTGCCAAATCTTCATATGCCTTCAAGAAAGTTATCCGGCATCCCGAACTTGCCGATGTCCCCAAAGACTTTCCCCAGAGCCTCCGAGAGAAGCACACGGCAGTCGCCGGGTCTCCGCAATCGAGGAAGCGCCAAACTCTCCCCCCCCCCCCCCCCCCCCCCCCCCCCCCCCTGCCCCTCTGCCCCCCTACCATCACTTTTTA